GAGAGACTATAATATATAGTAACAATGAAAAAAATGAAGTCCACTGATCAAGAATACTAAAATGCATTCTGTCTGTATTTTCCCTTCTGAAATTTCTAGTCTCATCCCTTCCACAGAAGTTCTCATACACCACTAAATCTCTTCTTATCACATTAAAATATAGGGGAATTATACTTTCACACAAACATGGTGCATATCTGTTACTCCTTATTGTAAATATTTCTTATCAGGATATTAGTAAGTCTTTAAGATAATAAATATTCAAACCCTCTAAAGCAGTATGAACTGCTACATTTAATCCTTAACATAAAGGATTCTTTATATGTGGTCCAGGTACAGCCATACCAACATATAGCAAGGTGTCTTACAACTGCATATGTGACTAGATCAGCTAATGGATGCCTCTATTATGACTTTACAAATATTTATTATTTCTGTCTTAAAAATATAATTCATATCTTTAAAATCAATACAACCACATCAGGCCTTTCAGACTGGTACCTGGTGGCTCCATGAAGCTGATCTACCTTGCTTGTGTCTTCAACTAAGGCTCAAGGGAATCATGATTTTTTCGAAAAAAGGAACACAAGATAGAAAATAAAAAAAGAAAATCAAATAACGAAATGATAATTGGCTGACAGTGTGACAATTTACGACTTCGTCACCTTGATCGTAATCCCTTCGTCCTCCTCTTCCTCTTCTGCCATCATGCTTAGCCTCTTCTTCTCCTCCTCATTCAGAGCATCCTTTTTCGTTCCACGTTTCTTTGTGCTGTGGGAGAAGGAAAGCATGAGTTGTTCCTTCAAGTGGCTGTGTGTATATATGGTTACAAATGGGCCCAGCACAGTGCTTTGCCTCAAAGGAAGAGAGCTTTAAAGGCGAGAAACAAAGAGTTTTGAAGAAATGAAAGAATGGATGATACAAAATGCTTTCCTTTGATTGGCTGTCTTCTCCGCCTGTCTTTTGCCCATGAGAAAAGTGCTGAGTGTGCCTGGGTTTTGTAACAATATATGATCTTGGGTATGCTGACATATGCTTTGACAAAACTTTGATCATCTCAAGTATATAATAATTTATAATGTACATGTACTGATATGCTATGATATGATGTTTAAAAACTGAAATCAAACTGAAGAATAAGAAATTATAAGTGAAGATTAGACACATCTAAAGGTACTCTTCTTACTCACACAAAAAGATATGAACCAAAAAGTATTACACATATAAAATACATGCATGACAATAATAGAAAAAAGGAAAAGAGGAAAAAATGATAGATCTAAAATATGAAGAAACCCTGAAAATATAACAAAGAGAAAAGTTTGTGTAATTATCAACCTGACATTTCCAGATCCTGTTAAATCAACTCTCATATCTTCTTTCAGTGTGTAAGTTACAATTTCAAGAATGTTTTTTTGTTGATGAAATATATGTATTTACAAAATAATAAGTTATAAGAGTACTCACACATGCAAGTCATTAGGATACATACATCAACAACTTCATCCCCCCCTCCCCTCCACACACACACACACACACACACACACACACACACACACACACACACACACACACACACACACACATATATATACATACACACATACACATACACACATATACACATACACATACATATACACGTACACACACATAAACCCATACACACACACACACGCACATGCATGCACACAAACACACGCCTCACGCGCACACACACACACACACACACACACACACACACACACACACACACACACACACACACACACACACACACACACACACACACACACACACACATACTCGTATGCGCATACACAGCTGTCTGTGTTATGGCATGTTAAGAAGTTAACATTAACCACAGTTGTATCTGAATAAGATATGAAAGCTGATCTTTACTTATCCAGGAAAAAAATAGTATGAAAATAAAGTACCTGGAAATGCCCACAAAAGAAAAAATCTATACTGTTAGACTTACATCAAACTACTATATTAGTTATGCACACATATATATATTTTATAAACAGGCAGAATGATTACAACAAGAGGGAACGATCAAAGCAAGATAACATGAAAAAGTTGACACATGTAGAACCAAGCATATACATAATAAGCAACCATGGCAGGCAACAATCATGCTGTGCAAATCTTGAATATCAAGAGTTATGGCTTAGGAGCCGAGTGTAAGTGCTGTTATTTATATATATAAAGTATTTTTATGTTGGTGTTCCCCAGTTGTTGGTTATTTTTGTTGTTGTTGTAGTTGCAGATGTTCTAAGATGTGCGAAACAAGATTTATGACATACAATGAAATCAATGAAGAGTGGTGACCTGCAAAACCTCCATAATATTGGAAAGTGGAAGGCTGCAACTGCCACTTTCATGTTCATCATCTGCCAAAACCTGTATATCTCACTCCATTTCTTGAACGTTTTTTTGGGAGCTTACCTGCAGAAGCTGATCACATGGATGTTGGCTGATGTGTCCTGTTTCCATCAGTGATCTACAGGTTTGGTCAGAATCTATACATATACAACTTGTTCAACACAGCATGAGTTCTTGCCATGTGAGAGAAGTATGTGCTCTGATTTACTTATTACACCTTTGGAGGCAAAATCTTTGTGATTGTACAGGCAGTTAGCAGGATCCATCTCTCACAATATTACAACTACACATGGCAAGGCTGTGTGGGAACAATATCGCTTATGTAAGTTAGGTTTGTTTCCCATCCAAATGAAGATATTTGATGGGATCACCACATTTAATATCTCCAGATTTTATCATACAAGAGCACATGGCTCATATGGCTAATATCTCCGAACGACACAATTTTAGACAAAATCATCCATCATAACCTAAAGACTTCCAGGCCTTCTTAAAGACCTCTAGTAAGTAAAGTCACTATTCTTTTTCAATATTTATTAGATATATAACATAACAGTATAAAATTTCATGATATAATGGCTCTGACACACAATAAATGCCATGCTTCACTCAGTTATTAGTTATATTTATTCATCAAAGCTAATCCAAACTTTGTCACAAAAAAAAAAAAAAAAAAAAAAAAAAAAAAAAAAAAAAAAATCCAGCCGGGCATTTATTGTAGGGTTAATGCAGACCACATGAGTAACTGCCTAGAATAAGGTATATATTTTTAAATGACTATGATAGGAAACAGTACTGATCCTCTATCGATGCAATGAGAACCAAATCTTTTCAAAAAGCATTAAAATGAAAGACAGCATAAAGGTTCAACACTGTTACCTAACATCACTGAGCTTGAGTTAGTGTATATCATGTATAAACATTTCAATTATTTTCTTCTTCAATATTATAATATGACAATATAAATACAGACTTTATTTGTTAATCATCCCTTTATCCATAACCACTGATTGGACAATAATTACAGATGACTGCAAATCTCCTGGCACAGCAGTGTTATAAAGTGTTAATGTTCTACTCTATCTCTTTAAAATTACTAACTGCAGAACTAGTTATAGGGATTTTAAGATTCTGCACTTTTATATTTACTGCATATATGTGACATTCTGAGCCATGACTATTTTTCTTCTAATCTTTAAATTAAACTATATACACAGACATCATAACATCTACACATTTAGTTTTATATAAAAATGGTTACAGTAACCTAAAAGTTTATTAAAAATACTGGCCTTTAAGTATATATATCACCCATTACCACAAATTGTAATATTATGGCATCCAACACTATCTAAAGTGCATTTACCTCCATAACTATTTACCAAAATGTACAAATTCTTTCCTGCTATCTGTACAGTGATGTGCAGCATGGACATTTACTGTAAAGCTACCTACAGTCTTTTCTCGGCCCACTATCATAGGTCAAGTCTTCTTTACTAGTCTCTATATAGCCCTGCCCCCTAATCAAGTCTGCTGTGATAAAATTATAGTTATATATATTTATATACTTATAACTAATTTTATTATTCACAACATCCATGGCTAATTTTATGAGATCTGAGAAGTGAACCATTCTCAGGTCACTCTGTTAAGTTGTGATTTAGGACAAAAAGTAATCTTTAATGAGGTAAGAAATCATAAGTCTTCAATGTAAAAAAAAAGGACACAAAAAAAGAAAAGAAAAGAAAGAGCAACTATCTGGGTGCAAAATGGTATCTGTCTATGTCGGAAAAGGGTATTTCATAGGATGATTCCTATGGCAAGCTTGGTAAAAAAAAAAGAAAAAGGGTATTTGCACTTAAAGTTAAGAAATGCTGTTGAAAAAAAATCAAGAATAGACAGACAGATGATCATACAAGACAAAGGACAAAAGCATAACAGCAGGAGTAGCTCACACAAGTCAGTCTGAGATTCTTCTGCTTGTTGTAGTAAGCAAAACAAATATATATTGTGGACAAAACAAAAGGCAAACACAAATATGGATAAATGAAGCCCACAGCATTTTTGAAAAGCAGATATCACAAGTTAAACTGCAAAAGCTTTTCTTTTTAAAACAAAACAAACAAATGTGGGGTTCACTTAAGCCCTACTGATTACAACAAAGCATTCACAAAATGGACAATGGACCAAACACTTTAAAAATGTATAAAAAAGGGGGGATACCATGCAGCCCTAGACTGTAACACAGGGAGAGGATCATTAAATGAAGAACTACTTAGGTTAATCTAAGGAAAAGCAGTTCTACAGGACATTAAAAGCTTTAATCTAAAATGTCAAATTAAGGCTAAAGGGACAAAAAAGTAGTAAAAATATATATAAATCAAAATATCTTTCAGTCAGTGTGTGAATGAAATTATCTACTGCTGACTAACTTAAAAAAAAAGAAGGAAAACTTTAAAAAACAAAATGAGGTAAAAAATCTGTCATCTGTCTCTCAAGTTTACTCTTTACATTGGATTCCTTCTAAGGCTGTGGAAGAACAATTTGGGATCTAAAATGAAAGAAAGTATTTCCTAATCAAGTGAAAGTGACTCCCTAGCCCCTGAGCCTGA